GGTGTGAAGCTGGTGTGAAGCTGGTGTGAAGCTGGTGAGAAGCTGGTGTGAAGCTGGTGAGAAGCTGGTGTGAAGCTGGTGTGAAGCTGGTGTGAAGAAGTCCTGGGAGAGCAGGAGGGTTGAAGGGCCTGGGGGAATGGAGAGAATTGGACCGCAGTCCGAAGGACCCCTGGGGACCAGTCCAGGTCCGTTCTGTGGGTGCAGGCACAGGGTAGGTGGAAAGTTGGCTGGAATCAGCAGCTTTGGGGTTTTGCACGGTGAGACGGAGGGCGGGAGTTAAGAGCAAGAGGGCGACGAAAGACGGTAAATGGTGCACCGGAATCCACCCGAGTCAAGACAGGAAGGGGGGACACGATGCGGAAGGAAAGTGAAGAGGAGGATTGACTGGTTTGTAGACTTAGGGAAGGACTGGGAAACTTATGGAGTTGGGTTCCTAAAGGAAGTTGGCTGGCAATTTAGGGGTGGTGGTTGGAGAATAAATAGGCTGTTTGAGATATAAATCAGCATATAAATGGTATTTAACACCAGGGCCCTGAGCCCTGAGCTTTGAATCAAGAAATCGGGTTTTAGTCGAGTTCGTTAATTCGTTTGTTTGTTCGTTCCTTCCTTCATTTTTTCCAGTCTCCTTGTTGGAGTGCTGAGTCCTATTTCATCCTTATTTACTTTGCACATTTTTTTTTTTTTTTTTGGCCGCGCCGGTGTGTGGGGATCTTAGTTCCCCCAGCAGGGATCGAACCCCTTGCTCCCTGGATTGTTAGCGCGGAGCATTAATCACTGGACCACCAGGGACGTCCCGCACTTTGCATATCTTTGACAGTGGGGCCTGTGAGGTTTTTCAAGAGCAGGGGCTGGGTTTCCTTTCCTGTATAGTCCCAGAGACTGAAAGTCTTGGGAGCCCTGCAGTGACTTCTGTGTGAGGCTCTGTTCTTCCTTGTGTGGAAGTGAATTTAGGGGCTCCCTGGCTGGTTGGGAAGAAAAGATCTTGACTTTGACAGATAATTCATGTCCAGGATAGATTAGAACTTTCTCAGGTGAGGGACTCGTACCAATACTAGTGTTTTTTGAGGGGGAAAGGGGCTGGGTTATTCACTACCTTATTGATTTTCATGAATTCTGAGCTTTGGGCTGTATACGCAAATTATGTTTTTATTCCTAATTTTAGGTTACTTTTTCGCCTTTGACTCATAAAAACTTTCAGACAGAAAAGTAGAGCAACTAGGATAATTTGCCACCACCTCGATTTTACAGCTGTTAACATTTTGCTATGTTTGCGCTGTCTAATTTTCTGAATAAAAAAATTTAACGTTTATTGTAGAAGTTCCAGACATACACAGGAGTAGAGAGTAGTGTCACGAGTCCCTGTGCACCCATTACCCAGCCCCAGCAATGATCAAAATAGCTCATTCTTCTTTCGTCTATGTGCTCCTTAGTTCCCCCCGAAAACCCTGGATTATTTTAAAGCTAACTTCAGGCATTTGCTGAAATATTTGAACTAGTTTACAGACATCATGACATTCTGTCCCTATTTATTTCAGCGTGCTTCTTTAAGCAGTAAAGGCTTTTTCTGATTTGAGTTTCACACATTAAAAAATTAACAGAATTACTTAAGGAAACTTGAAGTGGTGTATGGGTATGACATTAAATAACACTAACGCTCATAAGGAGAAAGTTAATCCCTTTATATTCTCTTTCAGTTTGTCTTAGAAAGACTCCATTTGGTGCAGGGTGCGTTTGGTGCAGGGTGCCTTTCACAGCCCCCTCTAGCACTTGGCTAGTTACCACTTTGAACAGACAGAAGGCAGCAGGTCTGGGCTCAGAGCCTCCAGCAGCCAGTGCTTTTAACTACAACCTAATCATCTGGTTTTGTTCTTTTTATTTTTGCGGCTGTCTCCTATTTGTGACAAGCGATGCTGTTCTGTCTGTGGGAGTGACAGAAATGGAAGTGCAGGATGCCTAGGATCTGGAGCCAGGTTGTCTGAATTTGGATCCCCTGTTTGCTGCTTACGAGCTCTGTGATTCAGAACAAGTGATTTAATCTTTCTGTGCCTCACTTTTCTCATCGGTGACATGGGGATAACAGTTGGAAATGCTTGAGTGGGTGGTTGGGTAGTATGGGGTCACATTATCGTTGGTACAGTTGTTATCTCAACAGCCCGCAGATCTAGGGCCACCTCTATCTCCCTCGATCCCAATATGGAGGGACCCCTTCCTTCCTCACCCTCAGAATATTAGTGGTTAAGGACACGGACTCTGGAGCCAGACGACTGGCTTTGGATCTTGGCTCTGCGACTCATTAGGCTGTGTGACCTTGAGCAGGTTACTCGACCTCTGTGCTTCTGTCACCTCATTTGTAAAATCAGGACAGTGATGAATTGTAATAGCTTTTGCATGAATTAATTCATATAAAGTTTTGGAAGAGTGCGTACCGCCCACTGAGCACCCCAGTTCATAAGAAGTTGATTCTTTCACAGAAAAAATAATTCAGTGAAAAAATATCCAGGGTTTCCCTAGATATGGTGGAAATTGCCAAGGTGGTATGAAGAATGTCTGAAGGTTGGGAAATAATTTTGGGAGGAGATGGGAGTGAACCAGGCACAGCCCATGGCTCCAGAGCCCCACATCTGTTTGGAAAGTTAAACTGAACGTAATCTGGGGACCACGGGGTGGCTGCAATAAGTGTGATGAGAGAAGTACTAATTAACCACCGTGAGAGGCCAGGAAAGTGAGCTGCTCTTCCAGCAGGTGCCCCCGGGAGGCTTCCTGGTGGCCTATCAGCTCGGAGCTGGGCCAAAGGGGACTGGCCCTTGGGGGGGCGGGCAGGGCCTCACCAGAGGGAAGAGCCAGTGGGGGGCTGAGAAAGAGAATTAGAAAAGTTATATGGGGCTCAGATTTACTATTTAAAAAAAAAGTCGAACAGGTAATAAATATGTATGGTTCAAAATAAAATCGGGACAGAGGTACACAGTGACCAGTTCGGCTCACAGCCCGTCACCTTGTTGGCCCCAGCCACTTCTGTTGCTTTTTTGGTTATCTTTCCAGAGTTTCTGATTGGCCGAAATAAGCAGTACTAATGAATATGTATATTCTTATTTTCCCTTGTCTTGCAAAATCAATAGCATATGATATCCACTGTTCTGCCTCCTTTATTATTTATTGTTATTAGTTAAAATGTTACTTACTAGATCTAGGCCTTCTTTCTACAGCAGTAATAGTGCCTTCATCTGTTTTGTTTTTTACTTTTTATTTTGAAATAATTAGAGACTCACAGGAAGTTGTAAAAATAGTACACCCATCTTCCCCCAGAGGTGACATCATTTTTTTTTAAATTTATTTTTAACTTTATTTTTGGCTGCACCGGGTCTTCATTGCTGCACGCGGTCTTTCTCTAGTTGTGGCGAGCGGGGGCTACTCTTTGTTGCAGTGAGCGGGCTTCTCATTGCAGTGGCTTCTCTTGTTGCGGAGCACAGGCTCTAGGCGCACGGGCTTCAGTAATTGTGGCTTGTGGGCTCAGTAGTTGTGATGCATGGGCTTAGTTGCTCCGCGGCACGTGGGATCTTCCCGGACCAGGGCTCGAACCCATGTCCTCTGCATTGGCAGGCGGATTCTTAACCACTGCACCACCAGGGAAGCCCGTGACATCTTATATTAGTGTAATCCAGTATTAAAACCAGGAAATTAGCCTTGGACAGTACTGTTAGCTGGATTCTAGCCCTTGTTCAGTTTTTACATGCGCTCCTGTGTGTGTGTGACTGTCTGTGTCTATGCAGTTTGATCCCATGCGGAGATCTGTGGACGCACCACCACAATTGAGATACAGAACAGTGCCGTCTCCCCAGAGGAACTCCCGGTGCTACCTACCCCTTCATAGCCCCTGCCCCCCTGGCAATTGCTCATCTCCATGTGAGTTTTGTCCTTTGGAGAGTGTCATGTAAATGGAATCATCCAGTCTGCACCCTTTTGAGATTGGTGTGCCCCCCATGAGGGTCTGTCCTTTGTTTCGGTTAACAGTATACCTTAAAAACTGCTCAACAGCTGATTTATTTAGCCCTGTGGGTATGATTTAATGAACTGCCATGTCTCACAGCCATTGTAGCATATTATATATAATCAATGCAAAAATTTTTTTCACTAACCTGAAAACTTAGCTAAAAAAAAAACCCAACTGAACAAAACCTTTTGGTCTTCAGTATGTCATTGTATTAGACAAAAAGCAGGCTCCATACGGTAAAGGAAGCGCCTGTCCTCTGACTCAGACCCCTTTTCTTCACTAATAAATCTCACCAGCAAATCATTTTGGTCTGTAAAAACTGGAGTTTCTTCTTGATGGGGAAACTTGTGTTTCTGATTTGTGGGGTTTTTTTCTTTCTGAAAAGAAGTGTCAATGTAAATAATTGAGAAACGATCTATAATGGGAATAGAAAAAAAAGTTTTATTCGAGCCACATGGAGGACTATAGTTCAGGAGACAGCCTCTCAGTTCTGAGGAACTGCTCCAGAGAAGCATGGTTTTCAGCACAGTTTTATATCTTGTTAGAACAAAGAACGTACATCAAACACGACCGGGAGGAGTACATTCCTTCAAGGTTTCAAAAAGAGGAAAAAAAAAGATTAGCATGCAGACACAGTCAGTATGGCCGTGGCACCTGGGAAGGGAACCTTGTCTTTGAAGGGCTACTAGCCCGGCTATCATAGGAAGGGAGACATTTATCCCTATCTTCAGAGTGGACGTTCTTTATTTCTGGTAAGTGCATTGTCTTCTTTAGTTGGTTAAAGCAGCTGCACGTTGTATGTTTGACAGGCCATATGATGGGCTGTTCAGTGAGTGCCAAGTTCAAGCCAGGTGTTGTAGATTTCAGGGTGATTTCCCCAAACCTCAGTGTGTGAAAGTTTCTGTCTGGATCCCTGCACAGTCAGTATCCTCACCAAGTATTTGGATGTCTACTTCAGGAACGGCCCACTGGAGAAGAGGAGGACAGGGGAGGGGAGGATTCTGACGCCATCATGCAGCGCAGTATTATGTAAGTACCCTCCCCACACCCCTGCCACCGGCTTACATGCTCCAAGTTCTCCGCTCCCCTCTCTGACTCTGCGCCTTATCTTAGAAGAACTCGGGTTAGTCTTCACGTAGGGATTTCCAGGAGTTGAGCAGTACGGAAAGTGGGAAAGGGGATCGGAAAAATAGGTAGTGTAGTAACCAGAATTTTTAGTTGCAAGGTTCAGAGACCCTGACCCCTGGTTCTCAATCAGGGGCAGTTTTGTCCCCCAGGGAAGAACAGACATTTTTCGTTGTCACCAAACATCCTACAATACCCTGGGTAGCCCTCCACAACGAAGAGTGATCTGGCCTGAAATGCCGGTGATGCCCGGCTTGAGGAACCCTGTACTCAGTCAGGCTGGCTTCAGGAAAAACAGAAAAGGAATTCTTTGGCTTGTGTAGTGGAAACTTGGCTTTTTAAAAAACTAACTAATTTATTTATTTATTTATTTATTTATTTTTGCTGTGTTGGGTCTTCGTTTCTGTGCGAGTGCTTTCTCCAGTTGCGGAGAGCGGGGACCACTCCTCATCATGGTGCGCGGGCCTCTCACTGTCACTGTCTCTCTTGTTGCGGAGCACAGGCTCCAGGCGCGCAGGCTCAGTAGTTGTGGCTCACGGGCCTAGTTGCTCTGCGGCATGTGGGATCCTCCCGGACCAGGGCTCAAACCCGTGTCCCCTGCATTGGCAGGCAGATTCTCAACCACTGCGCCACTAGGGAAGCCCGAAACTTGGCTTTAATAGTCAGATCCAGTTGTCCAGAGTTTCTCACTGGGACTCTGTCTCCATTGTTCAGCTCTGCTTTCTTGGATGTTGTATCACTCTGGAAGGCTGTCTTCCTTAGGCTTATAGTACCCTAGAGTCAGCAATCCCGGTGGAAAGAGGTGGTCTCTCTCCCAGCTGTCACAACAATATCTAGAGTTAAGTTTCATTGGCGCACCTTGGGCCGCATGCCAGTCCCTGAGCCAGCCACTATCATAGCCCCAGGGATGCAGGGCCTTGAGTGGCCAGGTCCGGGGCCTGTGCCCTGGTTGTGGGTGAAAGGGCAGACCCACGCAAACCATAGGGACTGAGAGAATGTGGGGGAACGGGCCTCACAAGAGGAACGTGGAGGGCTATTCCCAGAAGGAGGGGATGGATTCTAGACAGATCCAGACCTGGATATCACCCACAGAGACCTGGGAGTTGGTGGCTTACACAGATCCTAGGCTGCATTTTTCTCAGGTGATGAGAAATCTGGGGACAGTCTCTCCTGGGATGATAGCATTTTTAATTGCTGTCACCTTGCTTTATTTTATTTTATTTTTAAATTTTTTCCTTTTTTGGCCGTGCCGTGTGGCATGTGGGATCTTAGTTCCCTGACCAGGGATCAAACCCATGCCCCCTGCATTGGGAGCGCAGAATGTTAACCACTGGACCATCAAGGAAGTCCCTGTTTTATTTTTTAAAGATTAAGTAAACTTTTAATTTTGGAATTATTTTAGACGTACCAAGAAGTTGTAAAGATAGTACAGAGAGTCCCTGTATACCCTTCACCCAGTTTCCATTGTTGACACTTTACATCACTGTGGTCCATTGGTCACAATAAGGAACCAACAGGGATACATTCCTTTTAACTAAGCTCCAGACTTCATTTGCATTTCACCAGTTTATCTGTTAATGTCCCTTTCTGTTCCAGGATCTGATTTGGAGCCATGTTGCATTTAGCTGTCATGCCTCCTCTGGGTGCCAGTTTCTCAGGCTTTCTTTGTCATGACACCTGTAGCCTTACCCCCGGTTTGGTTTGTCCGATATTCTCATAATTAGCCTGGGGTTTTGGGCACTGAGGTGAGGTGCCCTCTCATGGCCTCATATTGAGGGTGCACGACGTCCCCAAGACACCGTAGGCAATGTTAACCTTCCTCGCTTGGCCAGGTCCCTGCGCCGTCAAGCCCCTGTTTTTCCCCTCTCAGTACTCTGCTCTCTGGGGCAAGTCACTCAGCCTAACCAGGCTCAGGTAGAGGGGAGGGCACCTTTATCTTTTTCAGAGCACGTAACGCCTTTGGACATTTTATATTTAGCTACTTGCTAATGTCTGCCTACCCCACTAGAGTGTCAGCCCTTCTAGGGCAGGGGCATATGTGTCTGGGTCATTGCCCTGCCCCTAGCTTCCAGGGACAGGCCTTGGCACATAGTAAGTGCATAGTTAATCCCTGTGGAATGGAAATCGGGATGTGTCCTGTCTCTCAGGTGAGTGGCAAGTTGGGGCAGAAAAATAAGCAGAGCGTTGCCTCCGCCATCTGATAAGGCTCAGTTTTCCTTATTGGTCTAAGGGGGTTGTTTGAAGTCTTCTGTTGCGTCCTGGGACGGGGACGGGCATCGGAAGCTGTGGAATGTGGTGTGTGTTAGAGGGGTTATTGGTTCTGTTATCATTCCCTTTTCCGCACCCCCCACTCTGTTCCTCCAGGTCATTTTTCCAGCCCAAGAAAGAGGGCAAAGTGAAGAACCCAGAGAATGAGATATCCAACAGCACCAGAGAAACAGAGTCCCCTCCAAAGTATGTTCTGGGGCTGGGATGTGGTGAATCTGTTCCTTTTATCAGTCAGGACCTGGCTCAGAATACCTCAGGGCCCCACAGGGAGATTTTTGACTCTAGTAACTGGAGAAGCCAAAGGTAGGGTCATCTTCAAGCACAGCTGGATCCAGGGTCTCAGAGTTGTCTTCAGGGTTCCGTCCCAGTGTCTTGACTTCATTCTGGAGCAGACTGCACGAGGCAGAGACCCTGCCACTGGCCGCATCTAAATAGAAGAGAACAACGTTCTTTCCTCCAGCGTCCTTGTCACAGATTCTCGGGAAGACCCTGCCCCTGGACCGGTCAGCTTTCCAAAGCATGCACTCAGGGTAGATTTAGCTCACATCCCCAGTTTGGGAGCCTGGGCAAGTAACTTCACTTCCTGTACCCCAGTTTCCTCACGGGTAGCAGGGTATCATGATCTATATCAGGCTTTCTGTGTGGGTTTGATGCATTAACACACTAACAGCTTACAGAACAGTGCCTGGTTCATAAAAGACGCTCAGTAAGTGGTAAGAATGAGGTCATAATTTATCAACACTCTCGACTTTTAGATCTGCCCCTTTTGTGTTTGCACTGCTATATATACACACTTATTGTGTGTGGTTTTATTTTCTGTGACGTTTTAATGTCTTGAAAAATAGAGATCATACTGTGTATATGGTTCCTGAACTTGCTTTCTTCAGTGACAGTATGACTTAGAGATTTTTTCCACTCCTGAACACAAAGGACCCTTTTACCTTCTGCTTTGTGTTCCATTTTATGGATGTACTGTAGAAATTATTTAACATCCCCCTACCGATGGATATTTAGGTTGTTTCCACTTTTTGGCTGAAACAATCCATGCCGCAATTTAGTCTGTATGTGTGACTTCTTGGGCACACATGCAGATTTTTTTTTCTAGCATAGATACCCACGTGTGGAATTACACATGGTAATTATTAATACATCAGCTCAGAAGTAGGTAAATACAAATTGAAGTGCTTCCAGTGTTTACTCTCCAGAGAAACTACTATTACCAATTTGAGGTATATCCTTCCATACCTTTTTTCTATGCATAAAAACATACGTGCGCCTAATACAGTTAGTTATGACACATAGTAGGTGCTCAATAGATAATTGCTGAATGAATAAGTGTTTCTCACACTTATATATTGGATGGCAGGGGCTCTCATTTTGGTCACTGTTACATCTCAAGTAGCTGGCACATGCCTGACATACAACAGATAGTAATACACATTTTAAATTTATTTTTAAATAGGAAAAGCAGGATTATTCTGTATGCAAGTTGCAGGTACATATGGGCAAACACTCATGTATCTTTTACATTCATGGAATCATACTATATAGATTCATTTAGTCAACAAATATCTACTGAGAATCTACTATGTGCCGGGCACCTAGACCCTGGGGGTTTAGCAGTGAGTAAAATCAACAGCAACTCCTCTCACAGATTTGACAGTCTGCTTTCTCTCCCCACAAAAAAATGTCTTAGAGCCATGCACTTCATCTAAACTCACTTTATTCTCTTTAATGTACCATGACAAGAGCGTGCCGTCATTGACCTAAGTAGGGAGGTGTTTGTGTACATCTTGGTCTTTGTCCAGACTGCGAGCTTTATGAGTGCAGAAACCGGTAGGAATCAGCTGTGTTCTCAGCCCCTTAAGTGACCTCCATCAGCAGGCATATTGGCTGTATTTTGACGGCCGTGTGTGTGTTCCTCACCAGACTGGGAGTGCCTCAGAGCTGGTGTCAGGGGAGTCGTTGGGCTGCTTTACCAGTAACCAAAGTCATGGTGACTTGGTTAAAGTTAAAATTGCCTCTTTCTCACTTGAAAGATTCTGAGCTGTTTAAGCAGTTTGGGGCAGCTAGGTGACTCTGTACCAGTTGGTGGTCCTGGGACCCAGGTTCTTTCTCTTCCTCTCTCTCTGCTCTGTCCTGCCTTCACCTGCATTGTCAAAGGGGGTCAGCAAGTCGAAGTTCTAGGGATAAGAGAGCAGTGAGGACAAGCAGTCAGGAGCAGGTTGCAGGCGTCAACATCCTATTGGTCAGAACTCATCACATGGCCATACCTGGCTGCAGGGGAGGCTGGGAAATGTAGTCCCTACCTAGGGGACTCAGGGGCTTACATGACTGAAAGGGCGTCTCCAAAGGGTTGTTGGAGGCCAGTCTCTGCCCTTAGTAGGGACTTCACGTGCTCCTCAGCATCACCCATCACAGGGTGGGCACACAGGAGGCCTCCAGAGAGCGGGATGGGTGGATGCGTGACTAAGAGTATATGCTGAGGAGGCCCCTAGAAAATGTTCATTGAATGCTTGAAAGGCAAGGAAGGGAATGAAACATAATTAAAGGGGCTGGAGAATTTGGGAGTAGCGTCCCCACTCTTATCTGCTGGAAAAAAACCTCCATTTTCTCATCCTCCAGGGTGGCGCTGAAGGAGCGGAATAGAGTGGTACCTGAGGGCGACTCTCCAGTGAAGAGGCCAGGGAGGAAGGCGGCCCGGGTCCTGGGCAGCGAAGGGGAGGACGAGGAGGAGGAAGCCCCCAAGCCCCCCAAAATCCAGGTAGGGCCCCAGCAGCCTGCCCACATTTACCAGAAGAAACCATCATTCCCATTGGCCTTTGGAGCTGAGTGCAGTGGCTGCTCAGGAGAATTCTGGAGATGATGCCCCAGCGGGTGGAGGAGTTGAGTGGTCCTGCCTGGTCTCTGTGCTCCTAACCCCGCCTCTGCTGGGGCGCTGGGCTCGGCTCCCTGGCCTGGGGTGCCTGGGCAGCCTCAGCTGGCACGAGCAGCTCCCGATAGATAGCCCTCGCCTCGTAGGGTGGCCGTGAAGGTGCAGTGAGTCGATTCACATACGGATCGGAGAAGAATGCCTGCTACAGAGGAAGGGCTCGGAAATCCGTCCAGTCTCTCCTGTTGTGGGAGGGCTTTCCATCTTCAAATGCGTCGGCTCACTTGCTCCTCTCATTTAAGTCATTTCATGCCTGTTGGCTGCTCTGAGGATAACGTCTGAAGTGCAGCACTTCTCAGTCTGTCGATGGTGAAGTGAGATCCTGTCTCCCCCCTGCTCAAACCCCCTGGCGTTGCCAGCTCAGGCCAAAGCTGGTCCTTACAGAGCCTCCAAGGCCCCTCAGAAGCCGCTTCTTCCTCGTCATCTTCGTCTTTTCCTCAGCTAACTCTGCCCCAGGGTGCTTGTATACTGTTGCTTGCCATCCCTAGATGCCCTTGTCCAAGTGAATGCCCACATTCAGCCAATGGGAAGAGCAGGGTACTCACTTGCCTTTAGGTGAATGTTATTTGAACCAAGGGACCTGTATATCCTTACATTGCATTGTGTAGTCCTGGGGCTTCTGACCACACCTAGATGTAAGGGAGGCTGGGAAGTGTAGTCCTCAGTCTCCTGACCACACCTAGCTGCAGGGGACCCTGGGAAGTGTAGTCCTCGGGCTCCTGAGCACACCTAGCTGCAAGGGATCCTGGGAAGTATAGTTTTTAGTTGGGCTATATTATGCCTAGCTAAAAATCAAAGATTCTGTTACTTTAGAAAAAAAAGAATTGTTATTGGGGTCCATGATAGGGGCAGTCTGGGACCATGAAACTACACAGGATGGTGGAGGGATGGCCCAGGTAAGAGGGGATGAGGACTAAGCGGGGCTGAGTCCCTCTGTACTCTCAAGTGCTTGGAAAATGACGTAGCTGGGTGCTCCCTCCTTCCTTCTCTCATTCAGGAATTGCTCTTTCTCTCCCCTTCCAGAAGCTTGCTCCAGATTCCCCACAAGTCTCCCCTCCCAGTCCTGGCACACTGCCTGAGAGCAGCCCTTCCCACTCTAGCACCTCTCCCACGGTCGTCTCCCCGTCAGGGATCCCGAAGCGTCGCACGGGTAAGGACCCCCTGGCCTCGCCCTTTCAGTTGCCTGTCTTTGTCCACACTTGGATTTCTGCATCATTCAGCCATCCTTGTGACAGCTCCGATTTTAGCATAGTGGTTAAGAGCACGGCTCCACCATCCACTGGCTGTGTGACCTTGGGCAAATGACTTCCCTTCTCTGGGCTTTATCCCTAAAACAAATGATAATTACAGTACGTCCCACCCAGAGATGTTGGGAGGATTAAAAGTGAATACGTGTAAGGGCCTGGAACTGGGCCCAGCCTACAGTAAGCACCGGTTATTGTCACTGTGATGTGTGCAGTGCTGGAGGGCCACACAGCTCACTGTGGGAGCCCAGGGGAGGGCCCCTGACTCAAGGGAGACTTCTAGAAGACAACTTAACCAAGCTGAGCCCTGAGGGACAGAAGAGGAGTGAGCAGGGACTGAGGAGGGGAGAGGGTTCTAGTCTGGGGGAGTGTGAGTGGAAAAGGCCTTGGGGGCACTGATGGTAGGTGTGTTGGTGCTCAGAGCGTGGGGTTGGGGACAACGAGCAATGAGACTAGAGAAGGTCCATGGAAAGCCCGTCTGAGGAGTGGTGCCTCTGTCGCCAGGGGGGTTGGGAAGATTTTTACACAGGGGAGGGACAGGGGAGAGACCCCCCCACATGCCTCAGGGTGATACGGCCTGCTGAGACCCTGAACCGTGGTGATTGAGGAACTAAAATTTTTTTAAATTTTTATTGGAGTATAATTGATTTACAGTATTGTTAGTTTCTGCTGTACAGCAAAGTGAGTCAGTTATACATATACGTCTGTTCCCTCGTTTTTAGACTCTTTTCCTGTGTAGGTCATTACAGGGTATTGAGTAGAGTCCCCTGTGCTGTACAGTAGAGGAACTGAATTTTTAATGCTACTTCGATTTAAATTGGAAATGACTCTAGTTTCAATTCTTGAAGCCTTGCAATAATTTGGTCAACTTGGATATGTAAAGCTACTTTCTCAACGGTAAATTCCATGAAATCTAAACACATCAAGTATTTCTGATGAAAATTTAGTGCCCAATTGAGATGTGCTTTTAAGTGCATCAGATTTGGAAGACTTAGCATAGAAAAAGGAATGTTACTCATTTCTTTTAATATTCAAAACATGTTGGAATCATCATATTTTGGATTTATCGGGTTAAGTAAACGATATTATTCAAACAATTCTCCTGGTTCTTTTTCCTTTTCTCAGTGTAGCCACTAGAAATTTAAAGATGATGTACGTGGCTCACTGCATATTTCCACTGATGGTGCTGGTATAAGGAAAAGTAGTGCTAACGCCGGATGCTAGGGGAGCTCTGGATTGAGGGGGCCCAGAGGAGGTGCCATCTGGCCTGAGTCTTGGAAGATGGGTTAGGGTTGGCTATGCTGAGAAAGGGCGGTTGGGAAGTGTTGCAGCCAAGACAGCCCACGCAAAGGCCTCCAGGTGGGAACAGCACAGCACATGGGGGAATCCCATATACCTCGGCGTCTCTGGGCAGTAAGGTGTGATTTGGGGAGCAGGAAGGGTTTGAGGATAGTGTGTGGCGAGAGGTGAGGCAAAGAGGAGGGTGGCTGCTGGCTCCTAAGGTAAAGGAACCTGCTCGGGGTCACACAGCCAGGAAGCAGCAGCGGCCTGCACGGGAGCCATGGCTGTGGGCAGGCGGAGGAGGGCAGGGGTCCAGAGTCTTCTCAGGGCCCCATCATCGCGGGGTCTGAGCTCACCAGGGTGGGGCAGGCGGGCCGGCAAGGAGGCCACACTGAGCCCTTTGCCTTCTCAGCCCGGAAGCAGCTTTCCAAACAGACACTTCAGGATGTCCTGCAAGAGCAGGGCAAGGGCGAGGGCAGAGGAGCCAAGAAGGAGGAGGAGGAGGAGGAGGAGGAAGAAGGTAAGGCCCTGGGGTTGGGGGGTGGGGACTGACTCTGTGTGTGTGTGTGTGTGTGTGTGTGTGTGTGTGAGTGTGATCTGGAGGGGCGGGGGCCTGTCTGAGAGGGCAGGCTGTGAGGACCCCACTGATTTGACACCTCTGTCCAAGAATCCACACGAGTCCGTCAGAATCCCACAGCCCCACCCAGGGAATTTTGTCATGAAAACATTCTGGAATACATTCGTTTGGCCATCTTAATTCAGTACGAATTCATATACAGCTTCTCATTTTTCTCTTCTATTTTTGTTTCTCATATGGAATATATTTTCCTCTAAATGGTTTGTTTTTTGTTGTAAATCTTACCAGAAAGCAGAGAGGTTCGCAAACTTCCAGGGCCCATTGTGCCTTAGTAACTTTTTCACGGTGCCTCAAGGCCAATACCTTTACTGTTCGGTTTGTTAAGTTGTTATGTCTGAACAACTATTTATTTATGTTCTAGCAACTTGGGCATTTGAGAAAATAATACATAAAATGTTGAAAGGAAAAATAATATTTAATTTCACTGTTAAATAATCATAATTAGTTACTAATTGTGATGTTTCCTGGGCACTGCACAATTGCTCAGACTTTGGAATCCAGTTGAACACTGCCACTTTCCTTGGTGATTTTTGTGCAGTACTTGGTTTTTATCACACCACCAGTGAGTACCCAGCCTTGCAGAAAGCTAACGTCAGGAATTGCCAAGAATGTGATCTAACACTGACAAGCAAAATACTCTGAGCTAGTAGGTCATACGGTGTCCAGCAGATGTCACCAATTTCCCTTGAAAATGTAAAATGTCCTCCGTGGGAAACACAACCATAAAGACCTGATCATTTGGGGCCTGTACGAGATTATAATAATCATAGCCTTTGCCACTGTCAATGTGTTTGTTTAATAAAAGGTCCTTATTAGGTTTATCTTTCCCAGGGAAGATCTGAGTTTGGTGGAGATTTGATTTCCAGTTGGCAATTTTTAGTCAATAACAAATTTTACTGTAAATCATGCAGTTTTAGCCATTGTCTGTGTCTGGGGATTTTGGGGGGTGAGGTGGGTCTTCTTTCTACTGAGGCAGATTTTTCCCAAGTTAGTTGATGCAGTTTTTATTATTACCCTGGAGGTGGGTTTTTTTTTTTCCAGTCAGCTTAAAAAAAAAACAACACCTTTATTTTTATCTCTCACAAGTTACTGTTGGCATTTTGAACCCTTTCCAGTTCTATTTTGCAGTGAGTAATTCTAAAATAATGGTTTATAAGAAAAGACTGGCCCTCTCTGTTTCTTAGCTGCCCAGGTGAGCACTGGGGTTGGTTTCCCTCAAGGGCCCTGCCTGGTTCAGGGCTGACCAGGAGCGGGCTCTCACACCTCCCGTCACTTCACAGATGTTCAGTCAGCACAGCGAAGAAAAAACGGGGGCAGAGTGTCTTGGGAATCGAAATGCCCTTTGTGGGGAGCGGTCATAGTGACTTTTTGCCATCTGGCTTTTTTTTTAATTGGTCCTCAGAATTAGAGACACCGACAGAAAGCCTCACAGAGCCTGAAGGGGGCAACAAGAAGGAAGCAGAAGAAGGGGACCAGCCCAGGTCACCCCCTGAGCCCCTGAAGACCTCCAGTGAGTTTCTGGTCCTCTTCCTCCCTGAAGCCCCACCTCTCTGGTTTTGGGGGTCAGATGTCTTTGGAGGACAGTTAATTTAAGGCTCAGATGAGATAAGACTTAAATAAGATTCTCCAGTGTGTTGTCTAAATGCAAATTCTAGGGGAAATTATAGGTTCTATTGCTATTATTATTTTTAAAAAATTTTTATTTATTTATTTGGCTGCGCTGGGTCTTAGTCGTGGCATGCAGGATCTTCATTGCCGAGTGCAGGATCTTTTAGTTGCATCATGCAGGATCTAGTTCCCTGACCAGGAATCGAACCCGGGTCCCCTGAGTTGGGAGTGCAGAGTCAACCACTGGACCACCAGGGAAGTCCGCTATTATTATTTTTATTGTTATTTTTCCTCCGTGCATGTGAGGAAAAATAGAGCCAGTCATTCTCCAACAAAATATCTTTCAGAAATTGTGGGCACTCTATATTATTAATTGAGCAATAATTTTAAAATTTTTTAATTAAAAAATTTTTTTTTGGCCACACCACATGGCATGTGGGATCTTAGATCCCCAACCAGGGATCAAACCTGCTCCTCCTGCGGTAGAAGTGCAGAATCCTAACCACTGGACCACCAGGGAAGTCCCGAGCAATAATTTTTTTAGGTTAGATAACCAGGGTGAGTTACAAGATTTTAGAGGTTAAAGTTACCCTCCAGGCCATAGAACAGCTCCTGCAGTGAGGTGTCCAGAAGACTCCCATGGCAGAAAGAACGCTGTGGGGATATTTTTAGGATGCAGGATCGTATCTGATTTTCTGCACCTGCAGAAGTGGGAATATTTTCTTCTTATCGTACTGAGATTTTTTTCCCACCATCTGTAAGTCTCCAATCTCAGGCCAGATGCGAGAATTCCACTAGTTCGTCCTAAAGCATCAGGCCTGAGAGGCTCCAAAATGAAACTATGGAAAGGAAAAGGGCAGAATTGATTATGTCTTCCATCTTCAGGGTCAGAATGACCTTGAGGTTAAAAAAAAATAGTCTGCATCACCATCTGACCTCTCTCGCTTTCAAAGCAAAGCCCCCAACAGAAAGCGTTTCAGAGCCCAAGGTGGCCGTGAAGCAGGGACCACAGGAGGACGGCCAGGCTAAGCCTTCCCCCAAAGCTCCCAAGACGCTCAGCAGTTTCTTCTGTGAGTTTCTCCCCCTCACCTTGCAGGGTTGCACCGGGGAGAGGCGGGTGGATCTTTCTCCAGAGAGTGCGGCCTTCCCGTGGGTTAGAAAGTCTGACTTGGTTAGAAAGTCTAACGCCTCTCGCAATGGTGGCTGGAGAGTGGTTGGCAGGCAGGGGCTGTCAGAAGGAGAAAGGACCCACCATTTCCCTGCTTCATTCCCAGCTCCCCGGAAGCCAGCAATCAAAAAAGAAGCAAAAGAAGAGGGACCCAGCGCCCTGAGAAAGGACGAGACCAAGGGGTGAGTCAGGATCTATTGTAGAGATGACAGCAGATTAAACAGAATAAGGCAGTGAGTCCAAGGTCTCTCTGACCTGATTGTAGGTAGGCCTCCGAAAATGAGACCGGTAGTCACCAAACGTTGTTTCAGCCTTAAAATTTTGTGATTAGGGTTTAATTATTTTAATAAAAATTTGGGGGGATTCTTAATGGCAATTTTGTACCCCAGTTGAGACCTGATTACTGAGATTAAATGGCCCCATTTCAGCATGTGACTGCACTGTAGGAACGGTCGGCTCCTTTCCTTGGACGCCTACTATGTGTCAGATCTGGTGCTAAAGTTTCTGTTATGCCTTTTTACTTCATCTCTGCAGTAGTCCTGCAGAGGAAGCAGGTATTTTAGCCATTGCACAGACATTGAGACTAGTAGCCCAGAGAAGTTAGGTCATCTTCCCTGGGTCACACAGGGAGCTGGGGGTAGGGCCAGGCCTGAAACCTGGGTCCACTTGGTTCCTAGGCCTGGCCTCTATTTCAGCACTGCCCCATCTTGCCTCTGGGCCTGTGTCCATGCTTATGTTATTTATAAATAAGTTTCTCTAACAAAATCGTTGTCTGACATGAAGTTTTATGTCCTGATTTTTATTTCATGTGATACTATGATCTTTTTCTGTTTTGTTTTTAATTCATTAATTAATTTATATTTAGTTTTGGCTGCTTTGGGTCTGCGTTGCTGCATGTGGGCTTTCTCTATTTGCTGTGAGCGGGGGCTACTCTTCATTGCAGTGTTCGGGCTTCTATTGCGGTGGCTTCTCTTGTTGCGGAGCACAGGCTCTAGGCGCGCGGGCTTTAGTAGTTGTGGCACGCGGGCTCAGTAGTTGTGTCTCACGGGCTCTAGAGCGCAGGTTCAGTAGTTGTGGCGCATGGGTTTAGTTGCTCCGCGGCATGTGGGATCTTCCCAGACCAGGGCTTGAACCCGTGTCCCCTGCGTTGGCAGGCAGATTCTCAGCCCCTGCACCACCAGGGACGCCCTGTGATGGTTTTGCTTATGCCATATTCCCAGTCTGATCGCTGATGGCTGCCTCCAGGAGACAAACTTTCAGGGCCTCCAATTTCCTTGCTTTTAACATGGGGACTTATCAGTGGCAAAAACACACTCTTTTATCCACTGTTAACGGTGTGCCAGGCAGCAGGCAGTGTGCCTTCCATATCCTAATGCATCGAAGCCTCACAGCGACTTTGTGTGTCGTTTCTGTTGGTATCCCCATTTCACAGGTGAGAAAAGTGAGGCTTGGAGGCAGGACAGTATTGTGGAGAGGTTAGAAATCCCAGCTCTACTTTTGTCAGCTGTGTGACCTTGGCCAAGTGGCTTAGCCTTTCTGGGCCAGTTTCCTCCTGAGGGTTTGAAGCATTTAGACTAGGGCCTGGCCATGCCCAAGCTCAGCAAGTTGTGGCTGCTATTATTATTATTATTATTGTTATTGTTACTAATTTTGATTGTCTTGCTGAGGTCGCAGATGGGGTGTATGGTAGAGCTGGAATTTGAACCAGGCAGTGTGGCTGTAGAATTTCTTACCCACCGCGCTCTGCCGTCTCTCGTTGTAATGATAGGAAGGACCAGGAGGGCTACCACTTACCAAACGCTGAGTCCTTACAGCTCACTGAGCATGCTCTGTCCAGCTCAGCCATCTTCAGCCCTGTCTGTCCATCAGGATCAGCTGAAGAGCCAAAAAAAATCTGAAGTCTTCTCCCTCGCCCTTCTGTCCCCCCACATTCGGTAGAGAAATAGGCCTGAGGCTGGGGAGTCAGTGTTCTAAAAATGCTCCCCACAGAGTGCACCAAGGAGTGGGAACCCTCACCATAATTTCTTCTTTAACCTCATGACAACGTGTCAAGGTAGGGACTCCTGGTGGCTCCATCGTATAGATGGAGACACTGTGGTTCAGAGAGGGAAGGTGCTTCCTCGCCACGACACAGCTGGTCAGTGATGGAGCAGGGATTTTAACCCAAATGAGTGTGACTGCGGTGGCTCTGTTGGGGTCAGTGTGAGGCATTTCTAGAGGCATGTATAATGTAAAGGTTTAGAACAGTCTCTGGAACTGTGCTGCTTACTAGCTGTGTGACCTCAGGTGAGCTACTTAACCACTCTGTGCCCAGTTTCCTTATCTGGATATGGAGGGTAGAAGAGTCCCTGCCTACGGGGCTGATTGCTAGCAGATGTAGTGCTCTTAGCACGGTGCCTGGCTCTTTGTGGCACCCAGGGACTGTGCCCTCCTCCTGCTGTTCCAGCCAGAGTGTGAGGGAGGGATTGGCCGAGAGGCCGGGGGAGGTCCTTGCCTCTTGGAGTGGACTTTGAAAAGCATTCAGATCACGCTGCTGCACTCCAGCCACGCTGACCCCTTTTCTTTTCCTCAAACATGCCAGGCGTGTGTCTGCCTCAGGGCCTTTGCACTCACCGTTCCCCCAACTTGGAATGCTCTTCTCTCTGGTACCCACACTGCTCACTCCTCACATCATTCTGCCCAAATGTCTCCTCTGGCCTTCCCCTGCCACCCCCTGAAATAGCACCTGCCATCGTGATTCCTCCCCCTGCTTGGTTTTCTAAAATATTTTTTATCTAAAATGATTTATTCACTTACGTTTTTTTGTTCGTTTGTCTTTTCCCCCTGACTCTCCCTCTGGAATGTGAGCTCCAGGTTAGCAAACTTGTTTTCATTCACTTCTGTGCCCTTGTGCCTGGAATAGTACCTGGCACTTAGTAGGTGCTCAATAAATATTAGAGGGAGGAATGACTTCTCTTCGACCCAGGCATCTACCCTACAGTCTCCCTTTTCCCTCCACAGACACCTGGACCCATCCAGCTACAATCCTGCCAAGAGCAACTACCATCCCGTCGAAGATGCTTGCTGGAAGGTGGGCCAGAGGTGAGGCTTGGCCCTGCCCAGACTGTCCTTCTCCAGCCTCTGGCACTGCGGGAGGCCCCGTCCCCGGAGGCTTCAGTGGGAGAAAACTGGCAAATCTCTCCCCTCCGTGTTTCGGGGAGACCACTGGCAGCTCTGAAGGGGCCGGAGAGAAAGCCCCAGGCAGTGGCTGGGCGGTGTTGCGTGCATCTGGGGATTTAGCAAGGCTGTCCCCGGGGAGTTGTGGGGAAGAAGGTGGCTGGAAGGGCAGCATGGGTGTACGCACAGCTCTTGTTTTCTCTTTTCCTCCCGCAGAGTCCCTTACCTGGCTGTGGCCCGGACATTTGAGAAGATTGAAGAGGTTTCTGCGCGGTAATTAACCAGGCCGGCCTGGCCGGGGCCGCTGGGTGAAGGCCCTTCCGGCTCTGTCTCTCTGGCAGCCTCTGTGCCTCCAGCTGCTTAATCCTTTTAACCTCTCCTCTCTCAGCTTCACCCTGACACACGAGATCTCAGGCCACAGGCATGGCCATGAGAGTGGCTGCAGGCCCTCTGGAGGCCCAGGCTCAGGAGGCCCAGCCATCATTTCTGCCTCATTTTTTGGTCAGAGCAAGATGTGAGGGTGAGCCCAGACCCCTGGCCTGAGGAAACAGCCCCCACCTCCTGGTGGCAGGAACGGAGTCTAGCCTAAGTAGTCAGAAGTAGCTGCCACCTGGCTGACATGCCTCGACGTTAGAGGAAATCCAGGTCTTGTTTGTAGCGAGAACCCCATCTCAGTCTGATACTAGCTCTGTGACCTTGGGCAAGTTACACGATCTTTCCACGCCTCCGTTTCTTTGCCTGTAAAATCAAATAATATCTAGCTCGAGGGAGCTGTGAGAGTTCAGGGAGTTAGAGAATGCAGAGGGCTTAACACCAGTGCCTGGCACCTAGAAAACAGTCCATATACGTCAGCTGTTACTTCTCTATAGATGACGGTCAAATGGAATTCCTTTTCCCCCCAGCAGCCTGTGACGGTGCCTGTGGCTCAGGTCACACATCAGGCACTGGTCGTGAGCCCTTTCCTCGTCCCTGCCACCGCCACCCCACATTGGTCCTGAAACGCCAGGTGGTCACACACATCCCCCCGCTCCGTCCCCTCCTGCAGGCTCCGGATGGTGGAGACACTGAGCAACCTCCTGCGCTCCGTGGCAGCCCTGTCACCTGCTGACCTCCTCCCTGTCCTCTACCTCAGCCTCAACCGCCTGGGGCCGCCCCAGCATGGCCTGGAGCTCGGCATTGGCGACGGCATCCTCCTCAAGGCGGTGGCCCAGGCCACAGGTGACGGGGGTGCTGTGGTGGAAGCCCCAGCGGTGGTGGGGGGAGCTTCAGGGGAGGGAGTGGAGAGGCCGGGAGCACCTGGGAGACGATGGAGGGGGACTGGGAAGGTGGAGAGATGGGGAGAGCGAGGGCAGCGAGCAGGCTGTGGGGGGAGAGCAGGACCAGGTCTGCGCCAAGACCCGGTCGGGGTGGGAGGAGGTGCTGCAGGCCCAGAGCAGGACGGGGGCCGGGACTGAGCACTGGGGCTTGTGGAGGTAGCAGGGCTTTGACCAGCGGAGTCGTGAGGGGAGATGAGGAAAGAGCAGGGTGTGGGCGGGGCAAGCAGCCTCCGAGGGCCGAGCCCTCAGTGCTTAGGAGAGGCTGGCTGGCCATATGGATGGGGCCTCCTGCCCACCAAGGGCCTGGAATGCTCCGTGTTTATTGTGACGGCGTCGGGGAGCTGTGGAAAGGTCCTGAGCAGGCAAAGGGCAGGGTCGGTTCTGGGCCCGTGTGGAGGATGGACAGGAAACCAGGAGGCCGGGGAGGAAGTAGGGCAGAGGTCCAGGGGAGCTGTGGGCAGCAGAGGAGAGGGCAAGAGAAGGGAGACGGGGCCCAGGAGGGAACTGCCTGCGGGGGTCAGGGATGGAGGAGGTGAGAAGAATACCCCCCGGGTCCATCATGATGGACCCACCACCAGGTCAGGACACCTTGAGGGGCAGGCCGGTTCAGGGGAAGTTACTAAATTCAGCTTGGGACCGACCTGTATCTGTGGGCCACCCAACAATGGAGGAAACAAAGCTCAGGAGATCTGGGTCACAGGGCAGGATCCGGGAGCTCTGAACTTTGGAGGCCTGGTTACGTGCTGGCCAGTTCTCGCGCCCAGGGAGAGGGTCTCTGGGGAGGAGAGGGGCGGGGCTTTGAGTCACACCTTGCGCAGCACCAGCGCTTAAGGAAGAAGAGGTTTGAGGGTTTCGTGAGAGGACGGGGTGCCTGAGGAAGATCGACCGGGAATGGAAGAGAGTCATGGGGTCGTCGGAACCAGAGGAGCTGAGATCAGAACCCTCCCACGCGTTCGCTCAAGGCACATTCATTAGGTGCTGACATCGCACCAGACCCGCTGCAGACTGTGTCCACTAGGATACCTCCCTCTGCCAGTAACACAAAAGCCAGCCACGCTGGCGCGAGGGAAGGATTGCTCCTCCTTACATAGTGAGGAGTGGAGAGTAGGCGGCAGCCAGTGCCGCCCGGCCTCGCTGCCAGACGGGACCGAGGGGCCGAGGCCGTTTCTGCCCTTCCGTGTTCACACTCACACGCGTCTCCTCAGGCTGTCCGGCCCAAGCGGTGTGGAGAGTTGGTCAGGCGATACCACTTACAGGCACGGGGCCTGGCAACTCGGTCATGTGTCCTCGTGGCTTCCAGATAAAGCTTTGGAATATAATTGTTTTGGAAGTGAGTTGGGGTGGATCCAGACACCAGAACCTGCTTTGTATTTTGTCTATCAGCAATGCTATGGAACAGATAAGTGTAGGTCGTTGTCAAAAAAAAAAAAAAAAAATCTCTGGCCAAGTGGCCAGAGATTAAAATGCGTGCTGTTTCATTGTGAATTGCTTTCCCTCTGTTTCCTTCGTACATGAGTTGGGGCATTGTGCTGACCTGCTATGTGTGGGTAAGGTGTGTCATCTCTGCATTTCTTCCAGAGTAGAGAGGAGTGATACAAAATGCCTGTCCTGGGAAGGGCCTGTGGTTCTGATAGGTTGAGAAATGCTAGGCAGAGCTGTTGTGATAACTTGCCTCCACCTTCCCAGCCTCCTGCTCTTTTTAAAATGTATTTTATTGCAGTAGAGTTGATTTACAACGTTGTGTTAATTTCCGCTGTACAGCAAAGTGACTCAGTTATACATATGTTGGGTTGGCCAAAAAGTTCGTTCGGTTTTAAGTAAAAATAAAAGACACATTTTTCATTTTCACCAGGAGTTTTATTGAACAATGTATTCACTAACCAAACAAACTTTTTGGCCAACCCAATATATATACATTCTCTTTCATATTCTTTTCCATTATGGTTTATCACAGGATATTGAATATAGTTCCCTGTGCTATACAGTAGGACCTTGTTGTTTATCCATCCCATATATAATAGTTTGCATCTGCTAATCCCAAACTCCCACTCCTTCCCTACCCCACCCACTGCCCTTGGCAACCACAAGTCTGTTCTCTGTGTCAGTGAGTCTGTTTCTGTTTCGTAGATAAGTTCATTTGTGTCATATTTTAGATTCCGCATATAGGTGATATCATATGGTATTTGTCGTTTTTCTGTCTGACTTCACTTAGTATGATAATCTCTAGCTGCATCCACGTTGCTGCAAAGGGCATTATTTCGTTCTTTTTATATGGTTGAGTAGTACTCCACTGTATGTATGTACCACATCTTTATCCCTTCGTCTGGTGATGGATATTTAGGTTGTTTCCATGTTTTGGTTATTGTGACTAGTGCTGCTATGAACATAGGGGTCCAGCCGCCTACTCTTACAGCAAGGGGTGTCCATGGGACCCAGCCTAGACAATAAGGCCAGAACACCTCCACTGTATTTAAATTGATGACTTCAAAAGGATAAGGTGACAGAAAACAAGCAAAGGCCCATTGGGCTCTGCCAGAGGATGTTAGTGAGCAACTGGAGGACAGGCAGAGGGTCCCTTGGCTGCCTTCTCCGTCTACACTTGCTCCCCTGGTGATCACATTCCACCCCAAGGCTTTAAGTCCTGTCTACACACTGATGGCACCACCCCAGACATCCCCTCTGGTGTAGATGGGTTCATCATCCAGGCTGCCTGGAGCCGGGAGCTGTGTGGCCACACCTCTCCTTGCCCTCAGCACCCTCTCTCTCCTCCCCCCAAGGCCGGCAGCTCGAGTCGGTCCGGGCCGAGGCAGCCGAGAAGGGCGACGTGGGGCTGGTGGCCGAGAGCAGCCGCAGCACCCAGAGGCTCATGCTGCCCCCGCCCACCCTCACCGCCTCCGGCGTCTTCACCAAGTTCCGGGACATCGCGCAGCTGGCCGGCAGCGCTGTGAGTGGGCAAGCGGCTCACCCCCTCTCCAGACCCTTTTCCCCTGGGGACCCAAAAGGCTCTGGTTAGACTGTTCAGGGCTGGATCGCCTTGGTCCTGCTTGTGGGATCAGAGCTTCCTTTCCTTCTGCTGCTCTCAAGACCGAGGGAACCTCTTCCTGAGAGTCTAGCCCTGATCTAGTGCGGGCCGTGGGACACGGCTCCATAAACATGTGCTGAGCAAAGCTAGGGTGGGAGGCAAGAAGAGAGCGAGCTTTTCACCGTGCTGTGAGCTTTTCACCATGCTGTGAGCGCGTGGCCGTGGGATGGGGGAGTGAGGGGGGGGGATGGGGGGCAGGTATTCCAAGGGTGGCAGCTCCCCAGGCAGCATGGTTGGCGGGCGGGTGTGGTCCCCTCCCCTCCCTTCATCCCAGGCACTGACTGCCCTTCCCCCGTATCTTCAGTCCACAGCCAAGAAGATGGACGTCATCAAAGGCCTCTTTGTGGCCTGCCGCCACTCAGAAGCACGATTCATCGCCAGGTGAGTATGGGGGCCTGTGAGGGTGGGGAGAGGTGAAGGTGGGGAAGGAGTGGCAGCTGTGTCGCTGCTGTGCCCTGACCGCCCTTGGATGAGAACAGCGTGAGAGAGGAGCCTGGGCCCTGAGGGGCGGGATGGGAACATAGGTGTCCTTTCACAGCCGGCTCCTCTTCTCAGTAGCACTGCCTGGAGAAGGGTGGGGGCTCGTGGGTGAAGAGTGCCACGCTTGATTAGTGGTATCTGCCTTGGCCTGAGGGGGGACGGTAAGCAAGGTAGCCAGGTGGTAGCCATCCTTGAAGTAATTGTCCGACATAGTCATTGGAGTGTTTCTTGGGTACCCTGCCCTATGCCACGTGCTTTCTTCCTCCCTGCAGCTCTTGGAGGTGGGCCCTGTTAGCCTCACCCCAGTTTACAGAAGGGGAGATGGAGGCACAGGGAGGTGAAGCTTCCTGCCTGAGGTTGCTGGCTCAAAGCAAGACATGTGGCGGGGACAGGTTCCTGACCATCACACTCTGGCACCCCTGGGGCAGGCTGCCTTCCAGCTCCAGGCCCAGCTCTGGCCCTGCCCCACCTTCCCCGAGCCACTCCAGTTTCTCAGAGGGCAGCTGAGGAGAGAGGCGGAGACGCCTGCAAGGCCCCTAGTTCTGTCCGCAGGCACTGCCAGCGGTCACGGTGGTTACTGGCCGGCCTCAGTTTCCTCCTCTGTTAAGTGGAGCTGTGTGCTCTCAGGTCACTTCCGGCTCTGGAGGTTGCTCTGGTTTTGAGGAGAGAGTCGAGGTAGGGGAGACTAGAGGAGAGAGGAGCAAGGGGTAGAGGGCGGGGTCGGACAGATATGGACAAGCCCACTCCCCGTTACCTGCTGTCTCCCCAGAGCCCTGAGTGGACGGCTGCGCCTCGGGCTGGCAGAGCAGTCGGTGCTGGCGGCCCTCGCCCAGGCTGTGAGCCTCACCCCGCCAGGTCAAGGTGAGCCCCCGTGGCTGGCCCCGTGCCCACCACTTGAGTTAACCTGGCTGCCCTTCTCCTTGTCAGAAGTCCACGCCCACGCCCACCCCTGCACGTGGTTCCTACCTCCCACCGCCACTCTAGGCTTCTCTCCCCTGCGGACACCGTCCCCAGCACCACCACCCACCGTGGACTCGGGTGACTGAGCGGGGTTGGGCCCATCCCAAAGCCTCTTCTGCTGGGGCTTGTCTTAGAATTCCCCCCAGCCGTGGTGGATGCTGGGAAGGGCAAGACAGCAGAGGCCAGAAAGACATGGCTGGAGGAGCAAGGCATGATCCTGAAGCAGACGTTCTGGTGAGTTCCAGGGGCCCTGGGCAGAGCGAGGTGGGTGTGGGGAGCCAGAGGGGGGTGGTGGGCAGGGCCCGAGGGGTCATGGGTGAAGTGGGAGGGGCCAGCAGCCAGCAAGCATCCGTGACCATCACAGGGCTAGTGACAGAGCACTGGGTGGTGATCCAGACGAGACTGGTGCTGGGCACAGGGATGATGACAAAGATGGGGAAGATGGCCAACAGTGAAGGGTCAGTGACACAGGGACAGGGAGCGATGCTGACACAGAGAAGAGGAGGAGGTATCAAGAGGTTTCCAAGTTCCAGACAGGACTGTGCATGTGGAAAGGCCACGAGAGCCCCAGATGGGGGCTAGTGACTGACGCACAGTGAGGTGTCGTGACAGTCACGGAGAGGACGTCTGTGGAGTGATGGTGAGGGCTCCAGAGAGAGCCACATGGAGGGACCTGGCTAGCTACCGACCCAGGGCTGGGCACAGTGGGACGGTGACAGCCCAGATGGAGTGTCAGCGGCAGGAGGGTAAACGAGCCATTCCACAAATGCCCACGGGGCACCTGCTCTGGGCCAGGCCCCTTGGGTGCTGGGTACACAAGGCAGACAAGCCCTGCAGAGCCTCTGGGGCCAGGGCGGCAGCCTTAACTCTGCCCCTGTGTGGGCACCTACAGACTGTCGCTCTCAGGCCTGCCCAGGCCAGTTAAATCAGAATCTTTGCAAGTGGAGGCTGGCCTTGAAGAAACACTTTTTTGAACACATCCTTGAGTGGCTGTGACATGTAGCCCAGGTAGAGAATCGCTTGTCTTATGATGACAGATGGGGGAGCGATGGCGGGCCTGGCTCGAGGGAGACAGAGTCAGAGTGATATATAGTGACACTGAGGGAGGACTGCGACAGAAACAGGGCGACAAGGGGAGTTGGGGATAGGCAGGAGTAGACCCTGGGGCCAGGTGGCAGGCAGAGGTGGATCTTGCAGCCAGAGAGCAGAGTTCGAGAAACACATGCCCCACCTTGTTCTCGCCCCCCACCCCAGCGAGGTGCCCGACCTGGACCGGATCGTCCCCGTGTTGCTGGAGCACGGTGTGGAGCGGCTCCCGGAGCACTGCAGGCTGAGCCCAGGTACCAGCCCCATGGGCCCCTCTGGAGTCGGTCTACAGCCTCACCCTGGGCCCCAGGCGCTGGGCTGGCCGCCTTTCGGCTCCGCTCCCTCCACCTGGCCTTGGCTTCTGCCCTCCAGGGCGGCCGTGGGAGGGCCCGCTGCCCAGAGCGCACCCGTCTCAGAAGCCGCAGGACCCTCTCCTCCAAAGTCAGTTCTGTCCCCTGTGCCAAAAGCCGTTCCTTTTCTGCTCGATCTTCCCGCTTCTGTGTTAGAGCTGCTACACCAGAGATACCCCAAAAGTCAAGGCAGGCAGGCAGGCAGACAGACTCTCGTTTTCTTGTATGTAAGAGTCCAGAGGGAGGCAGGAGGCCAGGGAGGGGCTGCGCGGCACTCCAGGGCTCAGCCACCCAGTTTCCCTCTGTCTCGTCACTTCGTCATCCTGAGGTTGTCACCCTAATGTGCCCCCCCACCCTGTCTACCTGACCTCACTCTCATCGCAACCCCCCCAGGGGTCCCCCTGAAACCAATGTTGGCCCACCCAACCCGGGGCGTCAGCGAGGTCCTGAGGCGCTTTGAGGAGGCAGCTTTCACCTGCGAGTACAAATACGATGGGCAGAGGGCACAGGTAAGGGGGTGGACACATCCCTTCTGCAGAAAGGGGCATGCTGTCGAGCAGGGCCATGGGGTCCCTCAGACCTGAGTTCCAGGCCGGCTGGCCTCTGCCACGACTGCCCGTCTGGTCGTGCGCATCTCTCGGGGCTGTAGTTCCCATCTCCGGGCAATCCACGCTCATAGCCACCTGACTGGCTTCTCTGAGAATCAGTTTTGATGATATCGTCACAGTCCTGACCCGCGGCAGTGGGAGCTTAAGCAGCGTCGGCTGCACTCGTGCCCTGCTGGTGGGTGTATTAATGTAACGGGTGCCTCCCAGGGCCGGAGATGTCCTTGGTCTGGGCTGTAAGGATGCTCCTTGTGGCTCTTCTGTCCTGGGGGGAGTTGGGGCCGGCTCTGCCCTGATCCTCACCTGGGGATGGATAAGCGAGCTTGGTGGGTGCCACCCTGTGGTGCCTTGAGGAGGCTACACACAGTGGATTCAGTTAGACGCTTAACAACACAGATGAATCTTTGAAATACAGTGCTGAGAAGAAAATGAACAAAATGAGTTACCATAGTGACAGTGATTTTTAAAAATACATGTATTTAAAGTCATATATTATGTCATACACACACACTACTATTTCTTGGGATAATATACATGGTAGGTGGCACATATGTAGCACTACTCAAGGACTGTGGCCCAGACGTAGTAAAATGAATAAATTAAAATAATAAAAACCAGAATGATGTTTACGGCCTAACAACATCCAGACAGATCAACACATACACGCAGAGTCAAGTGCCTGTGCTTGCAGGGGGAGGAGGGTAGGGATTGGAGATGAAGCAGAGGTGGCGGGGACTTCCACACACAGGGCTGGGAGGTGCTGTTTGAACCAAGGAGAGGATTCACTCAGGTCTCTGCACCAGTACCTCCTCCAGAGCTTCTGGAACCGTCTGCCAATGAAAGTGGGGTGAAGAAGAGAAAGGAGGGGCCCCTGGGGGCAGACCCGGCCCTGAGTCCCTCTCCGCTCCCCCACTGTGGCAGATCCATGTTTTGGAAGGAGGGGAGGTGAAGATCTTCAGCAGAAATCAGGAGGACAATACCGGAAGGTACCCCGATATCATCAGCCGCATCCACAAGGTGGGCACCTGCCGCTGCCTCTCACTCACGTGGGGGCCGGGGCTGCACTTACGGGTGCAGGGAACTGAGGCCCAGCCAGGCCAGCTCGGCACAGCAGGGGTTGATGGGAAGGAGATTGGAGTGCGTTGGGCTGCAAATAACGGAACAACTGCAGATGTTATTTTCTTCTCAAATCTGAAGGCGGGTGGCCCTAGGCTGGCTCAGCTGAGCACCAGGGTCCTTCCAAACCCAGCTTGGTCCTCTGTCCTCTGCTGTCCTTGGCTGGTTCCATTTCATCCCAGTGCCTGTCCCCTATGGTGTCCAAGTAGCCACCACACTTCCAGACAGGAAAGGGGTTCCAGCTTCTATCCCTTCCCACAAAGTTAGTGCTTTTCTGGGTACCTCCTACCACCCCCGGCTGACTCCAGCATGAGGGTCCCTGTCCAGGGCTGGTTGCCATGGCCACTCTGGTGCAGCAGAGGCTGGGGAAGCCAGAATCTTGCTTTCTGACAGGGAGAGGGTTTGGGATGAGGGTGAAGGCAGCCTGCAGACTGGCCCCACAGCCTAACTAGGGCTGGGTCTCAAAGGCCCTGGAGCCGGGGACGTCTCTGCCCTCAAGGGGGCCCCTCTGGGGCCTTTTTTAGGAGTCTTCCATCAAAGAGCCATTCTCCTGCCTTCCCTAATTAATAAGGAAATTTGCTCTTTCCTAAAGCAGCAGGACAGAAGTAACAGCATACAGCACAGGCATTAAAGGAGTTCCTGTTACATGCCAAGTGCTGTTGTTTTAAACCAGCGTAAGGTGTAGCTTTGTAAAAGGTTCTGATAGAGTTTGAAGAGTTTTGACAAGTTCATACACCCACATAATCGGCATGTAAAACGTTTCCGTGTTTTTGTCACTTCAGAATGTTTCCCCGTGCCCCATGCCAAGTAGGCCCCTGTCCCCACCCCCATCAGCCATCTCCTGAGGCAACAACCACTGATCTGCTTTTTTGTTGGGACAGGTTCGTTTTTGCCTCTGCTAGAGCTCCAGATAAGTGGTGATAGTACAGGGTCTTTTGTATCTGGCTTCTTTCGCTCATTCATTCAACAAGTATTTGTTGGGCGACTGCCCTGTGCTGAGCCCTGTGCTGGAGGCTGGGGCTTTAACAGAGACGGCAGGGCAGGCAGATCTTCATCAGAGTCCTGCTGCTGCCTCTATGAGTGTACTCAGAGATTGGGCGCTGAAGAAAAGGTCCGGCATTCATTTGAGCCTTTAAAAGAATAAGACTTAGACTCGGTGTCAGGAAAGCAAGGCCATCACCAAGCACAGCCCAGGGTACAGTGGGAATGGTGCCCCTGGAGTCGTGCAGATTCTAGAGTAAACAGCATGTGCAAAGGCCCGGTGGTTGGAGGGGCACAGCCCATTCAAGAAACAGAAAGGCTAGTGCATTGGGGTACAGAGCGTGAGTCTGAGGGGGACAGGTGAGGCGAGGAAGGGCCACGGGCTGACCAGTGAGAGGTCCCACAGCTTTGGGGAGCTGTGGGGTGGTTTTTAGCAGGGATGAGAAGTGATCAGATTTGGGGTTTGCCAAGAGCAACCTGGCTGCTGTGAGGAGAGTGGATTGGACGGGGTCAGTGCAGGAGCGGGGAGACCAGTAGGATGCTGTGGGTTAGGCTGGACTGGGCTCAGCAAGGTGGTGACAGGTGGACAGCTTAGCAGTTTCAGAGTGGAAACGGACAAGTTCACGGGGTAATTGAGTGTGAAGTGGGAGGAAGAGGAAGATGACAAAGGCTCCTTGGTTTCCAGCTTGCGGGACCGAATAGTAAGTCCTCAGAAAGCAGTTCTTTTCCCCTCTCGGTGGGGAACAAGAAAAGGGGTCTGTGTTCACATGTGTCTCTTTAAGGTTGACGTCAGTTTGTCAGTGGATCTTCAGAGCTGCAGAAGGAAAAAGATATTTGTTTCCCTGCATCTGTCTTTTGGCCTCATCCGCCACCTCTCACCAGTCCTGGGTCCCGCTCTTCACCTTTCAGATTAAACTCCCATCAGTCACATCCTTCATCCTGGACGCGGAAGCCGTGGCTTGGGACCGGGAAAAGAAGCAGATCCAGCCATTCCAAGTGCTCACCACCCGCAAACGCAAGGTAGCCTCTGCCCGCCCCTCCACCACCTGCCCTCATCTTCCTCCCAGTCCTGTGCAATCCCAGAGAGACAGAGCTATCAGTTGGGTTGTAGTTCTCTCAGCCTTTTGCAGTGTGGCTGCCACAGCTCCAGCCATCACATTCTTATCCCAGCATGCCAAGTTGGAAGGAGGGAAGGCCTCTTTTCCAGCATCTGTTTTATTATGAAAGATCTGTTCTAGGAGCCCCCACAACCTGCACCCCAGCAATCTTCTTTACTCTCATTGGCCAGAGTTCTGTCATGTCACCCCCATTAGCTGCGAGGGAGGCCGGGAGAGCAGATACCTAGCAGTGGTGAATGAGGTGGTTGGGATTAGCCAAGGGCCATCACAATTCAGTGCGTGTGGCTGGCAGCATTGATGCCCTCACAGGTGTGCGGCCTGTTGGCTGGGGAGAAGTGGGGGATGGCAGGTGACTGGGGTGTCTGCCTCGGGCATAATGGGAAGAGACCCAACTGGGCCCCGTCTCACCTTGCCCCGCTCCTGGTCTCCATCCTGCCCTGACCTAGGAGGTGGACGCAGCAGAGATCCAGGTGCAGGTGTGTCTGTACGCCTTCGACCTCATCTACCTCAATGGAGAGGTGAGTTCTGGCATCGTGTCCGGGTCAGCTGGGGCATGACTTGAGGTGAGGGGGGAGAGCTTGGGAGCCAGCGGTTAGAGTTTCATCACTGAGCCCGGAGGCCACACTCGGGCAGTGGTTCTCAAAATATGGACTGTGAGGCCTCCCTTTCCCAACATCTGTGTGAGGGGGATTTTCTTCCTGTCCTGCAACCTGAACGACATTTTGTAGCCATCCGAATGCAGAAGCAGATGTGAGAATCCAGCCTCTGTTAAGCCAGACATTAGAGAATTGGCAAAAATATAAAATAATGCCCCTCTTCACACTCATTTCCATAAGCCACATGATGACTTGTGACCCATCCGCTTCCTGCTTCTCCCGAGGTTGGGGTTTCTTCTCTTTATTTCCACGATAATGTCCCATCTCTCTCATCCTGCCCCACAGTCCCTGGTACGTGAGCCCCTTTCCCGACGCCGGCAGCTGCTCCGGGAGAACTTCGTGGAGACGGAGGGCGAGTTTGTCTTTGCCACCTCTCTGGACACCAAGGACACGGACCAGATCGCCGAGTTCTTGGAGCAGTCGGTGAAAGGTGAGGGCATCCGCCAAGGTCTGCGCCCTCTCCACCCACCCCCCAAGATCTGCACCCATCCTGGACGACTGGACCAGAACCCTGCCTGCGTCTGTTGTGAGGCTGTGAGCTGGGGCTTCACAGGGCTCTCATGTGTCCCCCAGACTCCTGCGAGGGGCTGATGGTGAAGACCCTGGATGTGGACGCCACCTATGAGATCGCCAAGAGGTCGCACAACTGGCTCAAGGTGCTGCCTGCCCCCGCCCCCCTTTCTTGCTGAGCTGGGGACCGGAAGCCTGCCCCTGCTGGGTGGTCCATGCCCAGTCCCCACATCCACCCCATTTGAGCCCCGGAGCCCTTTGCTCAGTCCCTCCTGCCTCCCACTGCAGCCAGCCTCGGCTCTGCTCCCCTAGTGAGTCGCCATGAACAAATTCACCAAGGACTGGTGGAGAACCGCCCAGCTAGGCACCCAAGATGTGGGGGTGGGGGAGCCCGAGGAGCTTTCTGTTCCCTCTGAGCTTGCCTTCTGCCAGGAAGTCAGCCAGGATGCAAACAGGATAAAGTCAGGGAGTGATGAGTGCTATGAAGAAAGCAAGTCCACTTGGGGCCAGGGAGGGTCTGCAGTACTTTGGGTGACTGGGAAAAGCCTTTCCAGAGGCAGTGTTTGGGTCGAGACATGGATGATAGGAAGTGGTCGGTCATGTGAAGATCAGGGGTGGAGCATGTAGGTGGGGGTTGGGCGCGGGCAGCAAGTGCGGAGGCCCTGGGGTAGGAACAAGCTCCGTGTGTGCAGGGTTCGAGGACCGTCTAGGTGTGAGGTGAGGTCAGGGCAGAGAGTGGGTCCCAGATCACCCAGCTGTGGGTGGTAAAACTGGGTTTTGCTCCAAGGGTTTCAGGAAGCCAGCGGAGGTTTTAAGGGGGAAGTCACCTGGTCTGATTGTCGTTTGGCACAAGTCCTCCGGCTGCTCCGTGGGCGGTGGACGGGTGCGGGGGGTGCTGGGCAGAAGTGGGAGCAGGCAGGCGGAAGGCAGCTGTCCAGTAAGAGGTGATGAGAGCTTGAGCAGAGAGGCAGCAGTGAGGAGGGGGCCAGGAGACCCAAGCGGGAGACGGCCGGGCGCTGAGCTGGCGGAGCCCGTGGACAGGGTTTCCCTGTGTGTGTTTTTTTGTTTGTTTGTTTGTTTTAATATTTACTTATTTTGGCTGCTCGGGTCTTAGTTGCGGCACATGGGATCTTCGTTGCGGCATGCGGACTTCGGTGCGGCCTGCCTGCGGGATCTAGTTCCCTGACCGGGAATCGAACCTGGGCCCCCTGCATTGGGAGCGCAGAGTCTTACCCTGGACCACCAGGGAAATCCCTCCCTGTGTGTTTTTTAGTTGTTTATGGTCTGTCCCACCCCCACTAAGCTGTAAGCGGCTGTGCAGGTACAAACCTTGCCAGTCTCAAGAAATATTGGCTGTTGTATCCCCACGGCTGAGCTCCTGCCTGGCACACAGTTGGCACTTAATTAATGTTTTTGGAATGAATGGGTGTGAAGGAGTGGAATGTGCCTCCATATCGAATGGAGGGGGGTTCCGGGGTGACCCCTGAGATCTCCCCACCTGACCTGTCCCCTCGATCCTGCCTCTTCGCATTTGAGTCCCCTCTTTCTCATCAGCCCTTGCAGCCTAGAAGCCTGTTCCTCGTCCAGTCTCCCCCGTGACTGTCATGGGTCTTCTCACCCAGCCCCTCCTCGCACCTCGGCTTAAGCTCCAGCGGCGGGAGCCACACCCGAGCGCCCCAGCCTCACCCCCGCCTTCCCTCCTCCCAGCTGAAGAAGGACTACCTGGACGGCGTGGGCGACACCCTGGACCTTGTGGTGATCGGCGCTTACCTGGGCCGGGGGAAGCGGGCCGGCCGCTACGGGGGCTTCCTGCTGGCCGCCTACGACGAGGAGAGCGAGGAACTGCAGGCCATATGCAAGGTGCCGGGAGCTAGGGGGCCCGCAGAAGCGGGAAGGGAGTGGGTGTGGGCTCAACCTCGCATGTGGAGCCTCTGACTCCCTTGTACTCCTCGCAGCTCGGAACGGGCTTCAGCGACGAGGAGCTAGAGGAGCATCACCAGAGCCTCCAGGTGAGCCCCCCCCGCCCCCACCCCCGTGTGTGCCTGGGGCTCTCGCCCTCCGGGAGGCTCAGGGCGCGGGGGCCGGCACTGCGGAGCTGGCTTCCGAGTGCAGCACGTCCAAGTTCCCGTCCCAGCCCTGCCAGCTACCGGCCAGAGCCTCCGGTCAGGGAGCGTCGTCTCCCCGGGCTCAGTGCCTGGGCCACGCCTGAGACAGGCTCAGGGAGGGCGTGTTGCTCGTTCCCCAGGTTCACCCTTAGGATGCCAGTGGAGCCCCTAGTCGTTGTGGTGTTTGCTGTCCTGGTCCCAGGCATCTGGGGCGTGCTCTGGCTTTCCTGTGTGTTGGTGTCTCTGGTCCTGTCTGTCCCATTCTTGGTCCCCCCCCCCCCCCCACCTCTCTAAGTCTCTGACTCCCCGTCTCTGGGTCTCGGTTCCTCTATCTGACTCTCTCTGCCTTCAGTTTCTTGTCTCAGCTCCCAGGGTCTCTGTCGATTCTTCCTTTCTCCCGTTTCCCCCATCACCCCCCAGCTCCACCTACCACCAGCTTTTTACTTGGAGGGGCATCTGTATCTATCCCCTTCCCCGTCTTCCTCCCTCTTTCCTCACTCTCCAGTCCCACCCCCGCAACCCTCCCCTCAGCCTTGACTTTGAGATCCAAGACCCTCTCTCCCTTATTCCCGCCACTGGCTGCAGGCCCTGGTGCTGCCCGCCCCACGCTCCTATGTCCGGGCCGACGGCGCCGTGGCCCCCGACCACTGGCTGGACCCCAGCGCCGTGTGGGAGGTGAAGTGCGCAGACCTCTCCCTCTCCCCCATCTACCCGGCTGCCCGGGGCCTGGTGAGTAACTGGGGGACACTGGAATAGACCCTCCAAAGGAACCCCAGCTGGGAGGGTGGGGAAATAGGGGGAGGGGATCTTGGAGCCCATGTCTGAGCTTCCTGGGTGATGCTTAGGAAGACTGGAGCTTGCGTTTTATTTGGGTTTCAGATAATGAGGTCAAAGTCTTATTTAAAAAAAAAGAAAGAAAGAAATTCCCCAGGAGTAGAAAGAAAACTGTGAAATTGCTTTCTTTGATTTTTAAAATTTTTTTACTTTTATTTTTTAAATTTTATGTTCTTATTGGAGTATAGTTGATTTACTATGTTGTGTTAGTTTCAGGTGTACAGCAAAGTAATTCAGTTATTTATATATATATATATATATATATATATATATATATACACACACACACACACATATATTCTTTTTCAGATTCTTCTCTCTTTGTTACTACAAAATATTGAGTAGTTCTCTGTGCTATATAGTACGTTCTTATTGTTTATCTACTTTATATATAGTAGTGTATATCCATTAATCCCAAACTCCTAATTTATCCCTCACCCCCTCTTCCCCCTTTGGTAAACCATAAGTTTGTTTTCTGTGTCTGTGGGTCTATTTCTGTTTTGTATATAAGTTCATTGGTATCATTTTTTAAAAAATCTTTCTTAAATATCATAATCTCACATTCCACTCTTAAGTAATTTTTGAAAACAGTTCTTTTCAGTAAAAATTTAGGATACTT